GTGTCGAGCAAAAAGGGCTTAGAAAAATCTGGGTAAATCAAGGGAGGGGCTTTTACCAGGGCGTCCCGAAGGGAGCAGAAAGCAGCCTCCTCCTCTTGACCCCAGTGGAACCGAACCCCTTTAGATGTTAAAGCGTGCAGGGGTTTTGCAATTGTCGCAAAATCAGCGACGAACCGTCGGTAATACGACGCGAACCCAATGAAACTCCTGACCTCTCCCACCGAGGTGGGAGTCGGCCAGGAGCTGACACACTGCGTTTTGGCGGGATCGGTAGCAATACCTGAGCGTCCCACGATGTGCCCCAAATAACGCACCGAATCGCGCAACAAATGGCATTTTTGGGGCTTGAATTTCAAATTAGCAGCCCGCATCTTTAGGAAAACCGCCCGCAACCTCTGGAGATGTTCGTCAAAAGTTTTACTAAAGACGATAACGTCATCCAAATAAATGAGGCACGACTCCCATTGCAATCCAGCCAAAACCAATTCCATCAAACGCTGGAAAGTTGCCGGCGCTGAGTGTAAGCCCATCGGCAACCGGTTGAATTGGAACAGGCCGTGCGGTGTACGGAAAGCAGTTTTAGGCTTTGAATCATCGTCCAGAGGAAGCTGCCAGAATCCCGAAAGTAAATCCAGTGTGGAAAAGAATCGCGCTCCCGCCAAGGCGTCCAGCGATTCATCCTGCTTTTTAACCAGGACGATCGGCGCTCCCCAAGGGCTGGTGGAAGGAGAAATGATGTCGGCGGCCAACATGTCATCAACAGCCGATTTGACATGGTCCTTTTCGGCGGGACTCAACCGAAACGGAATTTGGCGAATTGGCGCGCTGTCACCCGTGTCAATATGGTGACGCAGCAGGTGAGTACAACCCAAATCGTATTTATTCCGACTAAAAACGTCGGAAAATTCCCGCAGTAGTGTTTTAAGTTGTTGACGCTCTGAATCTGACAGGTCCGTCGATCCCGCACAAAGCGCCTCGAGCCACCCTTCATCGCTGTCCGAATGCGGTCGCGGCGCAGGGACAACGCTGACGTGATTTGCGACGGGTTCCTCACATGGCACCGGCGTTGCGTGAGCAAGCACGGTCCCCTGTGGGACCACCACCGTCTGCGAGCCCACATTGAGGACCGCGATGAAGGGTTCACCGTCCCCTCTTACTATGGTCTGGGCCGGAAGTAAATGAGGTCCACTAACCCCGGCCCTAGACGGCCCCAGCAAAACCCCTTGGGCCCCAACACCCTTAGCGAAGGGCCGCCGAAGTTTCAAGGGAATCAACATTTGCGCCCCCGGAGGGACGTGCACCGTTCTCTCTACGAATGCCGGCACCGTCGCGAACGCCGTCCGAGTCGTAACAGGCGATGGCAGAAACGCCATGCGTCTGCCCGACGGGAGCTCAATACATCCCTGGTCGATCAATATCCTAATCGGCATTTTGGCCAGGAAGTCCGTCCCCAGCAGGCACGGAACCGCCAGCGAGGAGGAAACAAAAATCGGCCCAGACAATTTAATTTCCCCAATACAAATTTGGGCACGAATTTGTCCGATGATGCCAAGTGAGCCCCCGTTAGCCGCATAGAATGGTACGTTAACAGGCATCAAAGGACGACTCCGGACAGGGAGAATATTGTAAATCAACTCCGAAATAATGGTCGCCGATGCTCCCGTATCGACCAGGATGCGCACTTCAACCCCGTCGATGTGCCCCACAACGGCTGACGACCCCGACGATGCGGCTACCACACGATCGGCCAGCACGGACCACTGGCCGGGTTCGATATGAGTACCTGGGGTGGTGCGTGATGGTGCGATGGTGCGCGATATCGGCCCCCCTCTCGTTGCGGTGTTTGAGTGCGTGACGGGTGTGTGCGTGGGCCAAACATGTGGGGTGCCGCGACTCGCCGGGTTATGATGGTGGAGCTTGTGATGAGGCCCGTCGTCCCGTTGAGGTGTCGTCCCGCGCTGTCGAGGAGCGCGGCACCCCGAGGCGACGTGGCCCCGGACGCCGCAGTTGAAACACCGCGGGAGCGCCGTTGGAGGAGACGGACGGTTGAAACGGCCCGGCCCGTCCCGGCCCGACCGTGCTCCTGTCGCCTGTTGCGGTCGGTGGTCGACGGCGTAGAGCTCCTCCGTCGGAATGGTGGTTGCAGCCACCGCACGCCCCGCCGATGCCCTGCTGGCTTTCCGCCGCAGTGACAGGAGGTTGGCGTGGAGGAGCCGCGCCGCCTGGAGCGATGTCATCTCCTCGTCCTCCCGGGCGACGACCGCGATGTCAAGGTCGTCTGCCAGGAGGAGGATCTTCTCCGTGACCATCGCGTCCACGCCGTCGTCGTCCATACGAGGGAAGGCCGACTTAGCCATCGCCAGGAGGCTCGTCCGATATGCTAGGGGCGACTCCTTCTCACCCCGCTTGCGGTCGTAAAATTGCTGTCGGCATTCAGCCGATGGTCCATAGACCCCGCCCAGCAGCTGTAGTGCCATCGGTAACGTAGACCGCTTCTCTCTCGGCGCCGATGTGAGGGCGGCGAGCGCGTCGCCGTCGAGGAGCGCCGGCAGCGCGCAGAGAGCCTCCTCATCGGACCATTTCGCCATCTCCTGATGGGCGAGGAAACGTCGGCGAAAACCGGCCCAGTCCCCCTCCGCGCCGATGAACTCCTTCAGCGGGGGCAGTCTCTGATGAAGCGCAGCGGTCGTTGTGGACTCCCGCAGGCTGATGTCACCACCACTCGGCTGTGCGTCGGTGCGAACGGCCGATGGGATCGCCTGTCGCGCTTGTGATGACGTTGCAGCTTCAGCGACGGCGATGTCGGAGCGGATGTCTAGGCTGGCCACGCCCCGAACAGCTGTAGCGTCGATGGCGGGAATTTCAAATTCGGACTGCTCCGAAATGGCGGGAAGGCGCCCTGGTCGTTGGCTCGCCTCGCCCCGTGTTGGATCACCGGCCCCTAGTCGCGTGATGGTCTCCAGCGTGGCGGCAGCGGCATACAGCAGCTCCGCCAGCCTCCCGTGAGCCAGCCGTAACGCGTCTGGCTGCGGCCCCTCTTCATTTCGATGCCCCGGTAAGGAGGCGTCAGGCCCCGGCTGCACCTTGTCTTGTGGAGCCGTCTCGGGCTCGACGATCTCGGCAGTGTCTTCCTCCTGCGGTACTTTGGCCCGCGCTGTTTTCCGCGTGTCCATGTTCGAATTACTTCTGACACCAGTTGAAGTACCGGTGAGGACGCTTGACGCCGAGGTTGAGGCACACGTATGTTTATTCACAATATGACAGTGGGCATATACACACTCGAGGGGGTATCGGCCCCCTCACCCGTATAACTCGGGATACACCCCTAGCTAACTCTGTCCTAGCCCCGAATCCTCCACTAATGGGCTAGGGGAGGCTAACTGGCCCGACACTGGTAAGTCGGGCCCGGTACCCGGAGTTCCAGACCAGCTCTTACAAGAGCACCGGCTCTGGCTTTCGGGACCACGCCGCTGGCTCAATCCTGTCCGGCCCTGAAAAGGACATCGAACCAGGGGAGTCCAGGGCTCTATCTAAGACGTCTTCAATCTTCTTCCCTTAGCTTAACATAACTGCCGAGCCCTTTGAAACATCCCCTTTTATACCCAACCCCTCCCTGAGGGGTGGGGCCCCGGGGGATCATAACGTTCGAACCAGCCCCCCCCCAGGGTGTCTGGCTCGGACGTCGTAGAGGGCACTTGCTCGTGCACTTACGTAGCCCCGCCCACTGTGTTTGTTTTCCATAGGCTGCCATGCATAACGGGCCCTCTCTTTAACACCCCTACATGTATAAAAGACACCTGTTCACAGAAGCAATCAATCAGATTCCAAACTCTCCACTATGGCCAAGACCAAAGAGCTCTCCAAGGATGTCAGGGACAAGATTGTAGACCTACACAAAGCTGGAATGGGCTACAAGACCATCGCCAAGCACCTTGGTGAGAAGGTGACAACAGTTGGTGCGATTATTCGCAAATGGAAGAAACACAAAAGAACTGTCAATCTCCCTGGGCCTGGGGCTCCATGCAAGATCTCACCTCGTGGAGTTACAATGATCATGAGAACGGTGAGGAATCAGCCCAGAACTACACGGGAGGATCTTGTCAATGATCTCAAGGCAGCTGGGACCATAGTCACCAAGAAAACAATTGGTAACACACTACGCCGTGAAGGACTGAAATCCTGCAGCGCCCGCAAGGTCCCCTTGCTCAAGAAAGCACATATACATGCCCGTCTGAAGTTTGCCAATGAACATCTGAATGATTCAGAGGACAACTAGGTGAAAGTGTTGTGGTCAAATGAGACCAAAATGGAGCTCTTTGGCATCAACTCAACTCGCCGTGTTTGGAGGAGGAGGAATGCTGCCTATGACCCCAAGAACACCATCCCCACCGTCAAACATGGAGGTGGAAACATTATGCTTTGGGGGTGTTTTTCTGCAAAGGGGACAGGACAACTTCACCACATCAAAGGGACGATGGACAGGGCCATGTACCGTCAAATCTTGGGTGAGAACCTCCTTCCCTCAGCCAGAGCATTGAAAATGGGTCGTGGATGGGTATTTCAGCATGACAATGACCCAAAACACACGGCCAAGGCAATAAAGGAGTGGCTCAAGAAGAAGCACATTAAGGTCCTGGAGTGGCCTATCCAGTCTGCAAACCTTAATCCCATAGGAAATCTGTGGAGGGAGCTGAAGGTTCGAGTTGCCAAACGTCAGCCTCAAAACCTTAATGACTTGGAGAAGATCTGCAAAGAGGAGTGGGACAAAATCCCTCCTGAGATGTGTGCAAACCTGGTGGCCAACTACAAGAAACGTCCGACCTCTGTGATTGCCAACAAGGGTTTTACCACCAAGTACTAAGTCATGTTTTGCAGAGGGGTCAAATACTTATTTCCCTCATTAAAATGCAAATCAATTTATAACATTTTTGACATGCGTTTTTCTGGATTTTGTTGTTGTTATTTTGTCTCTCACTGTTCAAATAAACCTACCATTACAATTATAAACTCAACATTTCTTTATCAGTGGGCAAACGTACAAAATCAGCAGGGGATCAAATACTTTTTTCCCTCACTGTAAACCCAAAACCCTATAAAGTATAAACCCTAACACTCTAAACCCCTTTACCCTTAAACCCTTTACCCTGAAAACCCTAACCCTCTAAAACCCTAAACCTCTAAACCCTTCACCCTTTAAACCCCTATACCCCAAATAGCCTAATCCTCTAAACACCTAACCCTCTAAACCCCTTTACCCTTAAAACCCTAACCCTCTAAACCCCTAACTCTCGAATCCCCTCAACCCCTAACACTCTCAAACCATAAACCCTATAACCCTCGAAATCCCTAAACCTCTAAACCCCTTATCCCTGAAATAACCCGAAACCTCTAAATTCTTAACTTTATAAATCCCTAACCCTATAAACCCCTACCCCTTTGTGTGGAATGTGGTGGGGGTGGGATCATGGGGTGGGTGGGTGCAGGGTGTGTGTGGTGTGCGGTGGGTGGTGGGTATCACAGGGGGGTGAATGGGTGCAGGGTGTGTGTGGTGGGTATGGTGATAGTGGTCGTGGTTCACAACGATCCGTGACCACCACCACCACCTCTACTGTGTGGTGGACCGGCCACCACACAGCAGCACGCGTCGGAGGAGTGAACGGATGGTTCTCCCTATGTGGGCCAGACTCCCTCGCTTCCTCTTCTCCTCCTGCATCACCATAACCTGATCCTCTTCCCTTGTCATCTCCTTCTCCTCCACCATCTTCTCCACCAATGTCTCCTCCACCTGCACCACCATCTCCTGCTCCTTCGTCCATACCTCCTCTGTCTCCCCCCTCATCTCCTCTTCTTCCTGCACCACCAGCTCCTCCACCAGGGTCTCCTCCTGCACCACCAGCTCCTCCACCAGGGTCTCCTCCTCCTGCACCACCAGCTCCTCCACCAGGGTCTCCTCCTCCTGCACCACCAGCTCCTCCACCAGGGTCTCCTCCTCCTGCACCACCAGCTCCTCCACCAGGGTCTCCTCCTCCTGCACCACCAGCTCCTCCACCAGGGTCTCCTCCTCCTGCACCACCAGCTCCTCCACCAGGGTCTCCTCCTCCTACACCACCAGCTCCTCCACCAGGGTCTCCTCCTCCTGCACCACCAGCTCCTCCACCAGGGTCTCCTCCTCCTGCACCACCAGCTCCTCCACCAGGGTCTCCTCCTCGTGCACCACCAGCTCCTCCACCAGGGTCTCCTCCTCCTGCACCACCAGCTCCTCCACCAGGGTCTCCTCCTCCTGCACCACCAGCTCCTCCACCAGGGTCTCCTCCTCCTGCACCACCAGCTCCTCCACCAGGGTCTCCTCCTCCTGCACCACCAGCTCCTCCACCAGGGTCTCCTCCTTCTACACCACCAGCTCCTCCACCAGGGTCTCCTCCTCCTGCACCACCAGCTCCTCCACCAGGGTCTCCTCCTCCTGCACCACCAGCTCCTCCACCAGGGTCTCCTCCTCCTGCACCACCAGCTCCTCCACCAGGGTCTCCTCCTCCTGCACCACCAGCTCCTCCACCAGGGTCTCCTCCTCCTGCACCACCAGCTCCTCCACCAGGGTCTCCTCCTCCTGCACCACCAGCTCCTCCACCAGGGTCTCCTCCTCCTGCACCACCAGCTCCTCCACCAGGGTCTCCTCCTCCTGCACCACCAGCTCCTCCACCAGGGTCTCCTCCTCCTGCACCACCAGCTCCTCCACCAGGGTCTCCTCCTCCTGCACCACCAGCTCCTCCACCAGGGTCTCCTCCTCCTGCACCACCAGCTCCTCCACCAGGGTCTCCTCCTCCTGCACCACCAGCTCCTCCACCAGGGTCTCCTCCTCCTGCACCACCAGCTCCTCCACCAGGGTCTCCTCCTCCTGCACCACCAGCTCCTCCACCAGGGTCTCCTCCTCCTGCACCACCAGCTCCTCTACCAGGGTCTCCTCCTCCTGCACCACCAGCTCCTCCACCAGGGTCTCCTCCTCCTGCACCACCAGCTCCTCCACCAGGGTCTCCTCCTCCTGCACCACCAGCTCCTCCACCAGGGTCTCCTCCTCCTGCACCACCAGCTCCTCCACCAGGGTCTCCTCCTCCTGCACCACCAGCTCCTCCACCAGGGTCTCCTCCTCCTGCATCACCAGCTCCTCCACCAGGGTCTCCTCCTCCTGCACCACCAGCTCCTCCACCAGGGTCTCCTCCTCCTGCACCACCAGCTCCTCCACCAGGGTCTCCTCCTCCTGCACCACCAGCTCCTCCACCAGGGTCTCCTCCTCCTGCACCAACAGCTCCTCCACCGGAGTCTCCTCTTCCTCCACAACAACCGTCAGCCATTTAGAGGCCTGGGTGAGCGCGGAGGATGGGGGCAGCGCCGGCTCCGCTCTGTAAAGACACCGTTCCAACTTCCTGCTACAGCAGAGATCGCACTCCCCCCCCCCCCCCACCATCATGCGGAGATAGATTAACCAGGTAAATAACGATGCTGCAGTAACGCAGCATACCTTTGCCCATCGTGGGTCTGGTTACAAAATGGGCATTAGTCTTGCGATATCACACTGGATGAAAGGCTACATGGCAAAGATATGGCTGCTACATTATTTGTCCTCACACAGAAACCAATTCTAAAAATACATCCGTATATAACCGAATGTACACGTGGTGTTTGAACTGTACATGTGTTCGTTTGCAGGCGGCAGGGCTGGAACTCACAGTCAGAAGGACCTGGGTTTGATGCCCAAACTTTGGCCACTTTCTCCGTGTGGAATGTGGAGTGTGTTCTACCCCCCCCCCCCGTTTTATCCTGCATTGGTTTCCAAAATCAGAATAAATTATTTATACTGGATGAAGAGGAATCCGATAAGCTATGAAGCTCTTCTTTCACAGATATGCAGTCGAGGCACAGGGTCAGCAAGTTACAACAACAAACAAAAGAAAATGAGTGCAACGTGTAAAAATGTAAGCAAGTCACAAAATAATTGAGCATACAAGCACAAAGTACGTAAAATCCTGCCAGTTTTTCAACATTAAATACAAACTTGGGCAAGGCAGCAAAACATCAACAAAAACAGCCCCAGACCTCACCAAGACAACACAGTCCCTCAATAAAATTGTACATTAAAATTTAACTTTCATTCCTTGGGGTTTGGCATTTTCCTCCACGTAACCGAACCCTGACACACACGCCACACAACCAGTGTTGGATGGACATCCTCGGCAGTGTTAGAAATTGAACCCCCAAATCACTCAATAGGAATCGCATAGCAGCAGTAGCAAAAGCAAATTTGTTCTGTACTGCAAACAACTTGGCAGGACTCTAATTAAAAAGAGTCTTGAGACTGAGTGAGGCTCATGCTGGCTAAATAAGGGTAGTAGTAATCAATATAGAGCCGGGTACGGTGTACTGGGGAAACCGCCCCGGGCACCGTGCTTCTGGCGGCCCTGTGCTTCGATGTCACGGTGTCAGACGTAATGTCTTTTTAACACGTAGGCTTTCATACCAGATTGGCTCACAAATGATGACATCACATTTATCACTATTTAAGACCGAAACAGGAGTATTTCTCCACAATTATGGCCGTCACCTTATGAGGCTGGTTGCAATCCCCGGCAAAATGTCGTACTCGAATTGTAAATGTGGTGGGTTTACTTTCCAACACACTGGTGTGCTGATCTAGTAACTAATTGTCACATTTTGTTTACATGATACACCTTACTAATTGACTGTGTTGGGTGATGGTGGGTTTAACAACACACGTATATCTACGCGATCTAACCGAAACAAACCTGTATTATTAGTAATACTTCCGGTTTAATTGTGACTTGCCCCGGGCTCCACACCTCCCTATGGACTGTCTTGAACATTTGACAAGCAGATCGTGGCTTACCGTCGCTCAGCAGCTCCAAAACACTGTACACTGCCAGGAGTAGCAGTGGTGGTGGCGTTGCTGGTGGTGCTGGTGGCCGCGGTCCGAAGCCAGCTGTGACCCAGCGCCTGCGCTGGCGTCATGCGACAATCCGGATCCCATCTGTTGAGAGGCACACGGGGGTCACACGCGGCGCACATGGTGAGAGAGGCGTGGTGAGAGCATTGACGTTCCTTCCCTTCTCCCACGAGGTCCAGGAACGCACGGCAGCAGCGGTGGTCGTGGTAGCAGCGAAAATCCTTCAATACGCAGTACTCTAAAAATGCCCTGAGCCTCGCACTGCCGAGTAGAATCTTTAATGAACCTCCAAAGAGGGCGATCTTAACACCGGTGGTACTGGTCATCGGCAGGTTCACTTAGCTCCACATCTTCCTGGTGATCGGAGGAGAGCGATCGTTGATCACCTTGGTGGAGGAAATCCTCATGGGGAGGGGGTGGGGGATGATTCTTACCGCAGGCAGGAGCTGACGAATTCAACAAACTCCAGGTCGTGGCTATTGAGTGCCCCGTGAAGTGACAAGCTCCCTGGCACCCTTCTCTTGACTGGGCAGAACATCATGCCCACACGATCTGCAGGAGACATGCACAGCAGGAGAGACACACAGTCACCAACCACCACTTTGCCTACCTACCCACTTACCCACCCACCCACTCTCCCAGACACCCATTTACCCACCCACACCCAAGGAATTGAAAGTACAAAGAGGCCCCCCCCCATGGCCACCCCAACAGCTCCAGGCCACACCCTAACACTGAATCCGGTCGGTTGCTCACCCCACCCTTCAACTCACCAAAGTAGTGCATTCCATTAGGAGCTGCATCCATCATACATCTTGGAGGCAACCCGAGGATCTGCACATGGTGGAGATAAAGGCAAAGGTCACCCGTGTAGGCGCAGCAGACTGTAGGGGCAAGTGCTTTTAGTAGTGAGTAGAAACAGCAGCAACAGCAGCGGCACCTGTTGAGGGCCAGGACTGTGGCACACACAGAGAGGGGATGGTTGGCCATATTGAAGCAGGTACACACCGCACCAGGTATTCATTTGAGGCTGAGTCGAACTCGGGGATGCCCAGTACCGGTTCAGATAATCCTCACTGATGTTGGCCGTGATTTGGAATCAAACTCGCATTACCGGGTTTGTAGCTGAGCACGCTAACCCCTGCACCACTGCTTCCCCCACACGTACAAGACACACACGTGTACACACATACAACATACGATGGCTGCCATTCGCCAGGTCACCAAGTACCCAATCGACCCCCCCCTCTCCTACCGCCCCCCCCCCAGAGCCTACAACTTCAAGGAAGGAGGGGGGAATCACGAGTGGGTGAACGCCCAGTTGGAAATACCTCCATGCAGCACGGGAGGTGGTCGTCGTGGCTGTCCGACTGGAATAATTCCCTGCCGGTCACCAACTCCGCCACCGTGCAGCCCAGTGCCCACATGTCCACTGCACAGGTCAATCTGTAGCCCAGCAATACCTCCGGAGGTTGGAATGGCCGAGTCCCACCAACATAAAGAGCTGCACAACAACCACAACAACAACAAATATATATGTATGTGTGTTCTCACTATGTCATGAACAGCATCCTTGTCACACACTGTCACATGTACAGACACCAAGAGACTTGCACACACACTGGTACACAGACACACCCACACGCAGAAACTCACACCCAGGTGAGGTTACTCACGTTGACTTTTCACAAAAAAGCTGGTGCCAAAGTCTGTGACCCTGATGGTGCAGGTCACGGTGTCCTTGATTAGAACATTTTCCTAAAGCAAGAGAGGCAGAAGAAATTCACACTCGAAGGTTACGCCAATAGCATTCAGCCACCAGTGGATCAATCACGTACCACAGTACATACTAAACGGTCGTCAACCTTTAGTCAAGTGCAACATTCCCTGTTTTCTGACAGCTGCCACTGGGGGTGCCCCTTTCAAATGCGTCAAGACGAGCGATGTTCGTCGAGGCTCATCACATGTAAAGCTCTCTGAAGCACCATCTAAGTAAAGGGTGCGGCTCTATAGACAACTTATCCTAGTTGCTCACAGCTGCCCGTTAACGAGTTACGAACCAAAAACCACACTCGAGGGCGCACGGATTTAGTGACGATTTGGGAAGTTTTCTATTCACAACATGGAAGCCGACAATGGGCACCTGTCAGTTCAAACGCGTGTTTGTCACGTTTTGAAAATCATTATTTTCAGCTCCGGTTTGTGTTTCCCAAAGTTTGTGGCAACGCTGTGATCTACATTGCTGGTTTTCTCTGTGGTGAGTCCCCCAATAGCGACACGACTCTACACGACAGTTTAATTCATACCGGATCATCACCAGAGGTAACATGACCCTGTCTCCTTCCAGATAGACGGACAGAGCTAACACATCGACCCTGTGACCAACGTGGGCGGTTTTCTCTATGGTCCTAGTCCCCAATAATGACACAACTCCGGAACAAAGTCGCGCTGAATGCTGTGTCCACTCACTGGCTTGATGTCCGCATGGATGATGCTCCTGGCCTTGGTGTGGCAAAGGAACTTGAGGATGCCCCTGGTGTAAGTTTTCATCATCCCCATGTGCAATTGCCGGAGCCCCGCTTCCTTAATCACATCATGGAGGCTCTCCCTGTGAAAGAGGCAGCAGCAACAACAACAATTACAACAATGACGCAGTGTCAGTGTCATACCCTGCAATACTGCGTGGATTATGATAACGACAAAATTAATATTCTATTTGCACATTCACGACTAATATGAGTCATAGCTCCGTGTGGGTTTAGGTCATTGGTTTGCTGATAAACCGAAGCAGCTAGCACATCTGACCACTTGCTTTCATTGGCTGTTTCCGGGTGGTGGAGTTATCTATTAGGAGATACAAACTCCACGCAGAAAGGCGTCCGTGTGAGAATCAAACTCAGGGATTTTCACCGAGGGGCACAAGTGTCACCACTGTGCTGCAGCCAACCTGCTGATCGAGTGGAGGCGTGGCTACATAAAAGTGGGCGGCGCTGATTGAGAAAAGAGGAGTGGCCTCTAGTGCACCTGGGCACATGACAGCTCCACAGTATCGCAATGCGAGGTTGGCACGGGAATCCCAGAAGTAACATCTAGCCCCGGTGGTGTGATGTTATCACCCCCCCTGGTGTGGAAGAGATCGGGGCTTTGATCATGACCCTGACGCATGTTTATTCTGAGTTTGCATGTTCTCCCCCTGGTCACGTGGATTTTTCTCCGGGTCCTCTGGTTTTTCCATCTACATTTAGAAACATGTGTTTAGAGTATTTAGCTGCCATACATTTCCACATCAGCCACTTTTTTGAGCTATCATTTGTAGCCAGGCCGCTTGTGAAAAATAACTAATCGGACAGTGGGCTTTACCTGCTAAATAAAATAGTTTTTGTTTAGCTAATGAAGTTAACCACGCCAAGGGGGGGGGGGGGGGGTGGGGGCGGTGGGAACACATGGTACGTACTTCAACAGCTCCAGGACAATGCAGTGGTGTCCTCTGAAGTCAAATTGGTTCAGGACTTTGACGACGTTGTAGTCCTCATCACTGCCCTCGCCCTGAAGTTCCAGAGCCATCTTGATCTCCATTCTCTGAAATGTATCACGCTTGGAGCTGTGCAGAGAAAATCCACAAATGAATCATGACTTAGACTTGCTTAAGGAATGACCAGAAACAAATTATATTCAGAATTAAATAATTATACCTTCCCCAAGTGTAATGTCATTGTAAGTTCCAGTAGCGCGCTCATGGAAGGTTCCAGAAAGGATAGGGAAGAGGATAAAATAAGCAAGGGATAGAGGGGGGTTTGGGGTGCTGCCTTAACGTAGTGATTCCCTAATGTGTGAATTGAGCCGACTCCGAGCATGGCCCCAGCCACACTCAGGATTTCCAGGAGCTGAGCCAAGCCACGGCTGAGCCACTCGTGTATCTTTATCAGCAGCTGAGTGGCTCAAGCCTGAGCCAAACCACGGCTGAGCTGGAGCTGAGCCTGAGTTTTAGAGACTGAGCCATAGCTGATTCGTGACTGAATGTGGCTCTCACAGAGCAAGGCATTATAACGTGGAACATCATGAGATCTCCTTTGCCAATACCAAAATATGAGAATAGATTTTCCCCTTTTTCCTGGCAACAAAACAGGTGTTAAGATGTAAAAAAAAAACTTTAACCTTTACAAGGAATCATGTCTGAATTAACCACAATACTTGTGGTCAGTATGCAAACAAAAAACATACTCTGATAATATATGCATTGTCTTTTAAACTGATTGGTCCACACCAGACAGCTTTCTGTTGAGTCTAGTCTCAAAACGGTGTTAAACCAGAGGACGCCAAAAGGCGTACAGCACAAAAACGAGCACTATCAGAGGAATGAGAGCTCGGGGTGAGCAGCGACATCATGGGACCTCCTTTGCCAGTATATTTTTGGTATTGGCAAAGGAGGTCCCATGATGTAGCTACTATAACGCTGAACACACATGTTATAACATAGAACGCGCCCGTTATGACATGGGACAACCCCATTAAAGCGTGGAACGTGCCTTTTATAGCGTGGAACGTGCCCGTTATAACGTGGAAGGCTCCCGTTATAACGCGGACCGCACCCATTATAATCCGGAATGCATCTGTTGTAATGCAGGAAAGCGCCCATTATAACGTGGAATGTGCCCGCTATGAAACTGCACGGCTGAGCGGTATGATACAGTAGGCGGAATGCGGAATTATAACGTGACGTGACAGCATACCCTCCATTATTGGTCTCTTCATATCACTGTGTGCGTGTATTATAGCTTGAAAAACTTTATCGTTACATTATATACGGGGATATTATGTTTGCTTAATGTGCTTTCCCTTAACGCGGCACTTTCAGGAATGCATCTACCAGGTGAAATGAAGACTTAATGTAATGTAAGAGTGAACTGATCCAGAACAGGGGGAGAACATACAAACTCCACACAGGAGGGCACCCGAGTCAGGAGTCAAACCGGGGACCCTCTGTGAGGCACGAGTTGTCACCACCTCATCACACGGCCGCCCACAGCAAAGGACTGAACAACAACGTCGTCCTTGTGACAACACCGCTCTGAATTCTTACCTCAATGGTGATACCAAGATCTTCACGGCCACCAGGGTGTTCCTCATGTGGTCAAGGCACCGGATCACCTGGCCTTGACCTCCATACCCAATCTTCTTCAGCACCTCATAGCGGTAGTGGAGGTGCTCATGCTGGACCTGCACCAAATTACAATCATTTAGACTGACTATATTTTGGAAATCACAACATGTAAGAAGTGTGAGCATTATTTTACGAAATAATTGTTTTATTAAGTGTTTGGTTTTCTTAAATCTGTAATTGTGGAATGCTCTGATGTCTGCTGGCTGAGACACCCTTAAAAAGCTCATTAGTTCAATAGGCTTAGCTTGTGAAATAAACTTGATTGTGAAGTGTGTGTGCGAGTGCATGTGTGCTGTCTCTGGTTGGTTGGTACTTCAGGTGCAATGACAAGAAGCCACGAACCTCGCGACCGCCGCGCCTGTGACCGTCCCCACGGCGCGGGGGCTTTGTGGCGAGTCTCACCGGAATGTAATGATGTTCGTGGTCGTCGTATCCAGCGTTGTTTGGTCCCCGGGATCTGTTGCGGAGCGCAAAGTACCATACTTCCTGTATGGTGGCAAGCTCCAGCTTCTCCCGGTGGGTCATTTGAGGGCCAAAGAGAACCAGGATTGCTGCAGGCAAGAGAATAACAACAACAGCTGTCATTTGTTTAGATTCCTTTTCAGGAGGTTCCTGCAGATAATTTACAGAGAATGGGGGTGACGCTGCTGCCATTACGTCTGCTGTGTGATGCCAATTTGAGCAATTTGCAGGGGATTTGGATGTTTTGGCCAATACCAGTTATGTCTGTATGTTGAACTTATTTTGCACCGTGCTTCGGCAACCCTGCTAATCAGAAGTGAGGGGGAAGGACAATAAACTAAAAAGTTCGCAAAAATTATAGATTTAAAAGAGTATCGCTCCAGTGGCTTCCTAATGTCGGAAGAGCATTCCAGATGACTGCAGAAGCACATCTGAAAACGTGCGATGCAGTGACCATCTTCGTTCGATGTCCAGCTATATGCAGCTTTGATGACGTCTTAGGTTGCTTGAATTTGACAACGGGGTTAATGAATTAGATAAATATAACACAGATGCCAAGGATTTTATCCTTTCTGGCACAAAAACAGGTGTTAATATGTTCAAACACCAAATAGATACCTTTTGCAAGGCATCACGTCTGCATTTACCACACGTACTTGTGGAAAAATATGCAAACAAACATGCTCCGATAATATATGCATTGTCTTTGATATTGACTGGCCTGCACCAGAGACAGCCTTCTTTATGACCTTGTCTCGCCGGTGTGAGACCAGAGAACGGCAAAAGTCGAACGGTACATCACCCATGCAACATGGCCACCATGAAGTCCCCCATGCATCATGGTCACTGTCACGTCCCCCTTGAAACATGACCGTCGTGATGTCCCACCATTCAGTGTGGCCATCTTGACGTCACTCATTTCTGTTCATACCTTGTGGCGACTTGCTGCGGATGGAGGCGGTGCGCGCTGAGGACAGCGCACTCCACGTGGTGCAAGACTCGCCATTACTCCGAGCCTCTCCAGCTCGGCTGATCTACACACACACACACAAACAGGTCCACCACTCGGGCTTGAGGAGTGAGTGGGACTCGGGCAGGACGAGCCATGGCCAGGATGGACAACAATGGCTGACAATCAAGAATAATAACAGCGACAACCAAGGAACGGAACACATCAGAGAGGAGAGCCGCCAGAGAGATGGTGCGATGAAACCGGCGCTTGGCGGATTATTCCATCACAGGATGTGAGGGGTAGCAGGGTCTCAGGGAGGGAGGCGTTCATCCATCAGTGGATATATAACAGTGCTGTAGATGCTCACGCGTAGACGGGCATGTACACCAACAGGATCTCGGAGAGACACTGATAGACGCACACACACTCAGGCGGGCAAGGAGAAGCACATCCAGGTATACAGGTCACAGGTAGGCACACGCAGAGGGGAGAACACACGTCCACCCATACTTCACCACACAAGTCGAGGAGCCACATGTACCTCCCTGGTAGCAACTTGCAGACGAGGGTGCTCAGAGCTCACGGTGTCTCTCGCGCGGTCCGGGTCTCTGCGTGGAGAGCGGGAGACAGAGGCGAGGGTCACAGAGTCGAAGGGGCGTGACACACCCACGTCCAAACACACGTCACTTCACAATGCGGACTCTCATCATCAACACAGACTCACATCCTCACCAGTCACCCATAATATGAAAAACACAAAAGCAATAACTGCCTTTCCTCAGCATGCTTGGCAAGGCGGTGTTGAATAATCCTTGCCAGGACCTTTCCCGGCACACCGAGGAGTGAGATGCCCCTGTAGTTGTTACAGTCTGTGCGGTCTCCCTTCTTAAAGATGGGGACCACCAGGGCATCCTGCCACCTCACTAACACCACCACCACTAATACCACCAACACCACCATCACTAACACCAGTAACACCACCACTATCACCACTAATAACAACCACAATCACTAACACCACCATCACTAAAACTAACACCACCACCATCACAAGTTGCGGATCGGGGGGTCTTGTTGGGACCATCTCGGGCCGGGGTCAATGGACCCGATTTGCTAGCTGCTCAGACCATGGTGAAAGGGGATGGGGACCCCTTCATTGCAGTCCTTAATGTAGGATCGCGAATGGCCGTGGTTCCTCAAGGGACCGTGCTTGCACACGCAACGCCGGCACCCTATGAGGAACCACTCGTGGGTCAGGTAACCACCGATCCTCCGTCGCGACCGCACTCGGACTGTGATGACGGATGGCTGGATGCGCTTTGCGCGGGATCAGTGGACCTGTCCGACTCGCAGCGTGCACAGCTGCGAGTTCTCCTGAAAGAATTTGCCGACGTTTTTAGTCAACACAAATTTGATATTGGTTGTACTAAATTGCTGCGACACCATATTGACACGGGTGACAGGGCGCCAATCCGCCAAAATCCCTTTCAGCTGAGTCCCGCCGAAAAGGATCATGTCAAATCGGCCGTTGATGACATGCGAGCCGCCGATATTATTTCCCCTTCCAACAGCCCGTGGGGCGCGCCGATCGTTTTGGTGAAAAAACACGACGGCTCACTGCGGTTTTGTGTCGATTTTCGGCGATTGAACAAAATTTCTGAGGCAGATGCGTACCCGCTTCCTCGAATGGATGAGTCGCTCGATGCCTTGGCGGGGGCGCGATTCTTTTCCACCCTGGATTTACTTTCTGGATTCTGGCAGCTTCCTCTGGATGACGAATCCAAACCTAAGACTGCTTTCCGTACACCGCAAGGCCTCTTCCAATTTAACCGCTTGCCGATGGGCTTACATTCTGTGCCAGCAACTTTTCAGCGGTTAATGGAACTGGTCTTGGCGGGCTTGCAATGGGATTCGTGTTTAATTTACTTGGACGATGTCATCGTCTTTAGCAAATCATTCGATGAACACCTCCAGAGGTTGCGTGCTGTTTTTCTCAAAATGCGGGCTGCCAATTTGAAATTTAAACCGCAGAAGTGCCATTTGCTCCACGAATCGGTGCGGTATTTAGGTCATATTGTTGGACGCTCGGGGATATCCACTGATCCCGCCAAAACGGAATGCGTCAGCTCCTGGCCGACTCCCACCTCGGTGGGAAAGGTCAGGAGTTTCATTGGGTTCGCGTCGTACTACCGACAGTTTGTGGCTGACTTCGCTACGATCGCGAAACCATTGCATGCCTTGACGTCCAAGGGAGTGAGGTTTCATTGGGGGCCGGAGGAGGAGGCTGCTTTTCGCGCCCTCCGGAATGCCCTGGTGAGGGCTCCGCCGTTGAATTACCCCGATTTCTCACAACCCTTCTTGCTCGATACAGACGCAAGTAACACGGGCATTGGGGGCGTGCTGTCCCAGCTCATTGGTGGCGTAGAGCATGTGGTGGCTTACGGTAGTCGGGTACTGTCTCCGGCCAGAACAACGGTACTGCGTTACCCGTCGGGAATTATTGGCAATTGTTTATTTCATTCAGTAGTACCGCCCGTATCTGTACGGTCGACGTTTCACCGTCCGTACAGATCATGCGGCTCTGCAGTACGCCCTGCGGGTTCAACAACCATCGGGGTAGTTGTCTCGATGGTTGGAGATTCTCCAAGACTACGGACTTTGTCACCACATATCGTAAGGGCGTCCACCACACGACGCTCACGCCCTGTCGCGGTTGCCACCCACTTCGGAGTTCGCTTCCCTCTTGGTTTCGGGGCGTTGTAGGCCCCCGAACGTGACCCACCGATTCGGTCCTCGTGGCCGCCGCCGATGCGCCCTTCGGCTTCGGGTCCTATCGAGCATGAAGGGAGGGACTCGTTGCTGGGGTTGTCGATTGCGGAGTGGGGATGCCTCCAAATGGAGGACACCTCCCTCCTCGCTCTGCGCCGTCGCACCGGGGGGGTTGGTCAGGGGGTGGCGAACGTTGACTCGTGGGGGTTGTTTCAGGGGCTTTTAATGCACTGGGACGGAAATCCCGCCGCCAACGGCTCGTGGTGCCTGCAGCATTGAGGGGTAAGGTGGTATGGGCCTGCGCATAGCGGCTCCTGCACTTGGGGGTTCACAAGACCTTTGCCATCCATGCTCCGCTCGATTTCTTCTGGCCGGGCATGGCAAAGGACGTGGGGGATCTCCTGGGGTCGTGCACAGCAATGCGCGCGACGGAAGCCACCAGCGAGGGGGTCCAACCCTCCGCTGCAGTCCATAAAGGTTTCCCGGGTTAACGAGCTCGTTGCTCTGGATATTCTCGGGCCATTTCCCCGCTACAACCCAGGGGAAATAGGTATTTATTGACAGGGGTCGAATACTTCACGAGATTGTGCCCATGGCCTGGCACCTGGCCAACCAGTCGGCAAGCAGCCATCACGGAGGCCTTTGTCCAGGGCGATGTCCTCGACAAGGGTGCTCCGGAACGGCTGCTGACTGACCAGGGTAAGAATTTTTCGGGGAAACTCCTCCGAGAGGTGTGCGACCTCTTGGGTACGGAGAAAATTCGGACCTCCCCGTATCACCCACAAACTGACGGGATGGTGGAACGGCTGCATCGGACGATCACGTCCCATGCTGTCCCAAGCAGGTATCGAATCCCAGACAGATTGGGACCTTCGCATTGGCGGTGTGTTACAAGCCTACAGGATGGTTCCCCATGCGGCCACCCGGATTTTCCCCCTTTCTTTTTAATGTATGGCCGCGAGGCTAACCCCCTGTGACGACCCAGCTGAAGCTCTCGGTGCTCAGGCGAAGTCTACATTGTCCGAACACACGTTAAATTTACACTCGGCAAATTATCTGAGGCGCGGGAAGAGCGGGCCGTGAAAAATTCTGAACTCTCCGCCAGAAGGCGAACGAGAGGCTTAGGGCTGGGGGGCGGATACATGTGTTCAAATGGAAACCGGGGACAGGGCATGGTTACACTGTCCCCAGGTGCCGCTGGCGACCTCGTCAAAGTTGGTACGGCCGTGGCGGGGGCCCGTGGAGGTCGTACAGGTCTTGCGGCCGCAATGTGTACGCGTCAAATGGGGGAGGCGTCGGTGGTACGTGCACCCCTCAAGGTTGAACCGTTCATTGCGCCGCCCCGTGGTTCGCACACACACACGCATGGCCAAACGTGTGAGGGGTCCGCCGACTCCCCGACGTCGCTGCTTTCGCCTAACCTGACATCGACTGTTCCATCTCCAGGTGCAACAGGAGTGAACGGGTCCCACGACCGCCAACCCCCTCCCGGGGGGGGTCGGAGGTCACTCGCAGCGAAGCCAGACTCTCTTGCACCCGGACCGTCAACAACCGCCACTGAGCGTGCCGGGACGGGCCCCTTGTGACGGGCCCGCCGCGAGAACGCGCGCCAAAACGCGCAGACTTTTGTGAGGTCGGCCGTTGGGGGCCCTTGCGGACGGTGGGGGGGAGGCGTCCGGAGCGCGTGTATATATGTTGGTTTTGCGGAATGGGGTATTTATTCGGGGGGGTGCGTCGGGTTATTTTTTTCTTTCCTGTTTCCTGTTGTTGTTGTTGTTATGGTTGTCATTGTTCTTGTTAAAATTACGCGAGGCACACACGGTTTTGGGGAGGGATGCACCTTTATTCTGATTTTGTTGCAGCCGGGGACGGCTGCGAGCTGTACAGGGGGGGGTGATGTGGAGGTGTAATTGTGTATGGGCACGGATGGCTAACAAACACAAGGGGCGTGTTTAGGGCCGTACACAGGGAGGTGCTCACACCGACGTCCGCACCTGCATCCCCCACGGGCCCCTCCTGGGGGGCCGAGTGCTATAAAAGGGTGGTGAGCCGGAGGGCTCGAGGTCGAGTGTTAGCTTAAACCAGCGAAGAGTGAAGACCAGCTGAAATAGGCCCCGAGCTCCCCTGGCTCGCTGTCCTTGTCAGGGCCGACCATGGGCAAGCCGGTGGCGTGGCCCCGAGAGCCCAGACTGACGTTCTTATAAGAGCCGGTCTGGAGACTCAGGGTGCCGGGATCCCAGCTTGACCAGGGCTGGGATAGGTAGCCTCCCCTAGCTCCGTAGTGGAGACTCGGGCGTAGGTTAGCGGGGTTAGATGTTGTGTCTCCCTGTTAGACGAGTGAAGGGGACGATACCCCTTTAAGTACTGTGTGTACCCGTTACTGTGCACAAGTTGGTGTTAATAAATAAGTGTGCCTCCGTCCCCGTCGTCAAAGCCTCCTGAATACTTACTACACACAGTCAAACTTGCTCTGAAACACAACTGTACACGGATAAACTTTGTGATTGACCAGTATCCAAAATGAGTATTAAAAATCTAGACGGTTACATAGAGAAAATTTATGGACGGGATCAGAAGACACCAACACAATGGAAAAAGTTTCTATCAGATGGAACAAACAAAGAAGCACTGGAAGAATTCCTCTATGTTGTGTGGCGAGAGGCTGATCTTACCACTGTGGGAAAGGACTTAAGCTTGTACATAGCACATGGAGACCTGTGTCACTGCGTGACTGTAATGGAGGGTTTACATACTCTCAGTGCTGTTGAAGATCTGACATGTGATCATGAGGAATGTGACACCAGGTGTTTTTACATGCACAACTGCTGCACAGGAAC